CTTGACAAGTGCATACTTCATCGCAAGTAATTTCTTGTTGTGGACTGGTAGTCTTACTTTTCGCAGCCTTGAGATAGCGAGGTTCGAACGCGATCACCCGATCTCGCCCTTTTGTGTCTGCTTGCAGTAGTGCACAGTGGATGGCAAAGTATGAAGCGTCACAGATGACAGTAAAACGATGATCGGGGTCTGGCAACGCCAGTATAGGTGCATAAAAAAGGCTTTCTTTGGCCCCGTCAAAAGCCTCCCGATGCTCGGTGTCCCGACACGATTCCACATCCTTTCTAGAGATTCGACAATGGCCGTGGCACTTCCGCATAAATATCGCTAAACTTGAGCAAGTAGTTGGTGAGGACAAACCCCTTGCACAAGTCCTTATAGTTTTATGGAGCCGGCCAGTCCACAATGGCCTTAACCTTAGCGGGATGCGCTCGAATGCCACGCTTCCCAATGGAGCACCTTAGAAAAGATTTCTATGGCGCCGAAAATGCACTTTTCTCCATCAGCATACAGCTTGTTCGTGCGCATGCACTCAAGCACCGCTCTCAGATGGACGATGTGGTTCACTCCATCCGTCCTCCCGTGCTCCGCTCGACTGTGGAAGAAGATGTCGTCGAAGTATGTCTGTGCATACGCCCAGTGGGGCCTGAACATTTGCGTCACAAGATTAAATGTTGCTGGTGCATTGGACAACCCTTGAGACATCACCAAACACTCCCAGAGCATGAGGTTCGAAGTACTCACCGCTGTCAGCGGAATATCACTCGCTCTCTGGACCAGTTGATAATATCCATCGACCAAGTCGAGTGCACTGTTTTTTGTGCATCCATTTTTTTGTGAAACATCCTTCCTAGGAATTGGCGTCTGTGCTGGACTAATGGCAGCGCTGGGCTTATCGTAAGCGTGAGCTATACACCACTTGCCGTTCGGCTTCCGGACACAAAACGTGGGTGTTGAATGGGGAGACTTGCTCTCACGCACCATTCCCGCGTCGTGCTTCTCACGGAGGTACGTCACATCCTTCCTTGGGCAGGGATCATTGACGTGTTTGGCAGTTTTTGGTTTCCAAAACCAGATCAATCTCATGACGCACAACTCGGCCCGGAGGTAGGACCGACGGCGAGACTTTGGAAACGACGTCCTGAAATTCCTTTACCAAAGGACAGTGCGGTTCCAAGGGATTCTTCAGAATCGAAGAACCATTTTGTGCGGTCAGCACCCTCTTGGTCTCCTCCAGGACAGCTTCTTTCAGAAGCGACGACGAGCTGAAATCATCTTTTGGTCGTATAATGACCACTTCGGCTAAATCGCTTGCCTTCAAGGCCTCATTAAACTCTACGAAGGACAACTCGTCCAGCTAAAGAAGAGCATCCACATCAGGAATATCCTTGAGGGTGACGTCGCCGTCTTCCTCCCTCGTCATACCATTGACGAGGGTGTATAGCTGTACGCTGTCGTCTCCGATGAACACACACTGAACCAGGGTCGACGCTCGGCGTTTTGCAGATAGCATACGGCGTCGCGTTGCCTATCTACGTCTAGGCAAGATCAGCGGGAACCCGCACTCAGCGTCGCCCAGCGCCCCAGTTCCACCGAAGCTTAGATGTTATTAACAACATCTGACGAAAGCTGCAGTTTCGAAGTCTTCCTTAAGTAGATACCGTGCCACACCACGCGCATCTGAATAGTCTTGCCCACGATGCATCAGACCTCGTCCGACCATGCCACTCGTGGCATGCAGCGACTGCTTTAAAACGTGAGCAGTGCTCAGTAGATTACGTGCCACTCCACGTGCATCACTGGGGCCTCGCCCTCGATTCCTCGGCCTACGGCTGCTCATGGCATTCTTGGCATGCGACAACTACTTTGATACTTTAGCAAGTTTCAATGAGTTAAGTGCCACTTCACGTTCATCGCGCGAGCTATGCTGAACTTTTGTCCGATACACGCTTCGGTGTTCGACAACTCAAATATTCCAACCTCCAGCTCATTGCCATTCACAATTCAGTGCCTACGCCGATAGCGTTTCCGCCTCCTAGTTGAGGTGGGTTCATGACTCACCAAAGCTCCACCAGGAGACGTTCGCGTAGCGCCCAAGGTCTTCGACCTTCTATCGATACATGGCTCATTGTGTTTTAACCATGCCATACAAAGGATGAGGTCAATCTTGAATTCAAGTCTGAGACTAAGCAGCATTCCACACCATCAAAGTCAAGAAGCTTGACACCGAGGTCCACAGGGACCTTCAGCACCGTGACACAAATCCCCGTCGCTAAGCAAACAGTGATGATGTTACTCAACCGCGATATCAGCGCCTCAGCATACAGCTGACTTCCTTCCATCGTGAAGTGTCGAGCATAATTACCAATCATCACCTTTTTTAGAGGAGAGTCCGCCGACACTCCGTTTTCTAGAGCACTCAGCTCTTGTACAGTCATAAAATTTGCTCTTCGTTTGATTGGTAACTAGAACTTTGGCCACACGCGATAAGCCTGACTAGGCGGTGCGAATGTTCGCCACATCTGTAACTGGACTTGTATCATGATGGGCATGCTTAAATGGATTGACGATCAAAATCTCCCTATTCAAAACTTTTTGAGATGACGTGGAACCTCCATACCTTCTGTATAAGACGTTCCTCGAAATCTTACACAAAACCATTTAAATTGACGATGCGTACCCCCAAGGGAGTGGTAGTTGCTTTCGGGCTTTGGTGCACCAATTGCGCTATTTCCATCTGGAGACTAAAGATGCCTTGGCGCATTTTGTTGTTCCCAGGACAGATACGTGGGCTTTCATCTCCCATTCTTACAAGCCACAAATCTTTTTACGTTTTCGGTTCATTATATTCGCGAAAATGCCGCGCACTTTGCGCAGAAGAAGCTTCGACTCTCAGTGTTCGTGTCGAAATACGCACAAGGGTGATTTGTGCGCAACAAAACCGTGAGCCTCTGAGGACACCTATGTTAATGGCTCTGCTATCTCAAGAGTATATTTATTTAGCATGAATACTTTCGATTAATACTCATATATATTACTATTTCTCGTGATACATTTATTTTCTCTCTCACTTCCGGCTAGCAGCGCATGTGTACCTCGCACCTTTCGCTTTGGGAACTCTATCATCTTCACAGATAGCACTATAGTCAACTGTAATGATACGTCTGTACGGTAAATGTTTTGTCACTGTAGTGATTATACTTTATGAGTAAGGTTTGAGTAAGTACTTACCCCATTACTACAAGTGCTAGTGCAACGGGGTTGCCGCAGAGAAAATTTTTCTCTATACTTGTGCGTTAACCAGCGCACGCAAAATGGGTTAATACGCTCCACCCATGAGCTGAATTTTAAGTAGCTTAGGACTTTTTCGCTTTTTGATTCTAACAGTGACATATACTAAGAACTAACTCTTATTCAAACTGATACTACTAATTCAGTATTATCATGTTTGGTTTCACTGGCTGCCCATTAGATGCCTAACCAAGTGCCTCTCAGGTACCTAATACTTTGAGTCTCTCAAAACGAAGCGCGATATATTTGGATTTGAAAGCTGCACTTAATCATATCTTTTTCAATTTTAAAAAATTCATAAACGCATCGCATAAGGCTAGCAGCTCATGTGTCTCATGGGCCTCTCCTTTCTGTGAAGTCTTTCATCTTCTAGTCATGATACTTCGCCATATCACACCCGAGCTTCGCTATAATCTCGACATACAGCAGTGTAATGTGTACATACGCCATCATGTCATTTGTACCCCGTCGTAAGTGCTATCAAGCACTTCGAGGTTGTCGTGGCCCTTAGGCTATAGAGTCGCATTGAGATACGTAAAAGGATGTGTTCGAGGGCCATTTTAAGAGCGCAAAGCCCAAATACTTCACTACATCACATTTCATATGTTATATTTCGAACAAAAGCTACCACCTAGCGATAGTCGTATATATGACTTTATGAATTGGAAAGAATAAAAATGTCATCTGGTTGCAAAAAGAGTCTCAAATTTTCAATGTGAATGCTTATGTAATCAATGATCAGTTAAAGCTTTTTTCTGACAAAAATCTTCAATATTTACTAAAAATGTTGAAACTGGTCAAATGCTCAATAACCAAAGCTCTTAAGGAAGCAGGCAATCGATAATGTCAGCAGAGCTGAAAGATATTGCAGCATCAGCATTGGTCGCATCACGTTTTCACGGCGCAATTTTAACGTTATCATGTTCATGTCCCGGGTCGGGAATTGCCAGTTGTGTCTTTGAAGATAAGTGTTCATTAACATTTGCTCCTTTCGAATATGCGATCCTATTTGATTACGAAAGTATAAACTTGGTTTATTGGATATGATTCTAGAAAGAAGTGCGTAGCACTTGAGCAGAATAATAAAAGTAAGTCATAATCTCTCAATTGAAGATAGATCATTATTGAGGCGTCACAGAAGTCCTTAAGATAAAGGAATTTCGACCATTCACTCGAAATACTGGTGTTGTTGATGAATAGTCTGGCTGTCCAGCTTGATGTCTTTGCGGGATTTGATAAGGAACGCTGGAGGCTGCAATTCAAAATGAATTTCAAAAGATATTGTCTATCCTACCGTAGGTAAACGTCTAACAGGTATACTTAACAATATGGCAGAGAATTCTAATGTGCGTCTCGGTCAAAAGTAAAAATACATCAGGATACAAAACAAGCTCGCAGCATGTAAACACAACAAAATGAGGACCACGAAATGAATTATATGGATTATAGCTGTGAGGATAGCTACAGCTATAGAATTTCTGCAGTGAAATTCGTCACAGTTAGTTTGGCGTTGGCAGCGGTGATAATGTTAGTGACAGCTTGTACTTTATGAACATAATCATTGAAAGTGATACCGGCTGAGATGAATATGGAATCATTGATAAAAGGGTACAAGTCATCCGTGATAGCAGGCATCGCCATCCTCGGAACATACCAAATCGATTTGGCCGGAGACGGTAGTCGGTACCTATCATATTCCCTTCCGCCGATAACAACCGAGTCAGTGGATTGGGTCACTGACGCAGGAATGTAATCACCGTATCCAGTCATCCAAACCAAGATTTCAAGTGGAGAATACGTATAATCTACAGGCCCAACAGTTAAGCTGAGACCAACGTTTGCGGACAGCTTACCGTCGAAAGTGTACTCGTGATAGAGGGTTACCGGTATGGACTTGATTTCTCCAACTCGCTTTGAGTCCGCCAGCAGTTGAGCAGCAGCGAACGTAACGGGATTCAAGTTATTGGTACCACCCGAGCTTGTTTCAGGAATGTTCGCATTCGTGTGAAAGGCAACCGTGTGGTCGGTAAAAGAATCCACTGCTGAACAAAGCTGACCAGATATTTCTCCGGAGCCATGGTAGATCTTGTACTGCCCAGCTTGAATTGAATCATAATCATTACGACTTGGACCACAAAAATCTGCGGCTTGAGCAATTGTGGCTACGGCAGTAAGAGCAATGGTAGCAGGGTAGCAGAACTTCATTTCGATTGGTATGCAGCTTGTTACAAGACAATTTGTACAATGAAGGAAGGTGTCGGAACGAAATATGACCCTGTCCAATGCGCTGATCAATTTAGCCAGGAAGTTGATTACTCAGCCGCCAGTATCGCATGATGGGGACCTGATTCCTTCTACGAGCTCATGAGTCCTTACAAAGAAAGGGTTGCGAGGACAAAATATTTGTAGTGGGTAAGTTTGTGCAAGAATCAGAAGGGTTTTAAAAAGCATGCAAATTGATATGATTTGAGACTATTTTGAAAACTACACATTTTAAATACGAGCCGAGACGTATCTGTTTGTAAACTAAGGACGCAAGCAAGTAAAAGATTCATTTTTGATCAAAATAAGTTTAAAGGATCGTAAGAGCTTCCATTGAACGCAAAAGTTAGAGCGTTTATGGGCAAAGATACAACGAATAGGCACATTGCCAATAGTAACCCATGCAAAAATTCGGAGCAAATAATCACCTTTTTATGATCTTCCGCACGACATTAACTTATTCGAAGGATGGGTTCAACAGCTGAATATTAGCTGGATAGTTTCGGAAAGCACGCAATGTGTGGATCTGAAGGGTAATGACTGGCGTTTGACGTGCTAGAGAATCGCCGCTTCTACATTTGACGTTCTACGCTTACTCTGGGTTGCAACGTTAAAGGTCGTAGTTTATGTAAGTTTATCAGGTTTAATGACAAGTGCTTGCACCAAACATAAAATGAAAAAACAAGCTTTCGAGTGGATAAAATTTGATGTCAAGACATAATGAACAATTTGCGACACAACCTATGTAGCCCATTAAAAAGTAAGTTCAAGCTGGGCAAAAACGTGCAGCACAGCATCTTAGGAATACAAATTCAAATCAGACATCGGATTAAGTAATCAATTTCAAAAGATTACGCACTATTTAGAGGATTAAGTATCAAGCTCATGGGCCCCTCTGACGATAGAGAGTGAAATCAAGTCGGAAAAGCTCAAACCCATATGGCTACAATTACTGCATCCATGGCATCAGCGATAAGATTCAACCGTGCACCATACACCTTTATGAAAAGAATGCTTTTGCTTGCATCTAGCTTACCAGATTCTCCTTAAACTTTTAAATATAAATCCACATTCGCTTCACTAAACCAGTCCTCCTGTGGAGCGGTGATAATTGGTTGCTTGTACGGTTGCTCATAAATGCAGCAAGCTGCGAAATGCTGATTATGGCTTGACACTCAGTCTTGAATCCACATGTTCTCTCATTTTGTTCATCTTAGGGTGTGAATTTGTAGCATTTAAGCTTTTGTCCATAATCATGACAGAATCGAAGCAGATACGGTGCATTTGCAGCAAACATGTACGTTGATTGGAGTAGTAATTTCCAGTACGCCAATCGCCAATGAATTTTTACACTATAGATTTTTGCATCCCTTTGAACCCATGCTTTGAAAATATGGGAGACCATAAAGGACGATACTGAGGCCGTTGTAGCCAATATGCCTATTTTGTGTCCAATTTTATTGCTGCCGATATACTATCTGCATACGCGTGGATGGGCTCTCTCATGATCCGAAAAGCTTATTTTAATTAAAGTTGGATCTTATACCCGTGTGTATTCTTGTTTTCGAGCAGATACATCTTCACTCGTACTTAAAGTGTCGCGATCTAATGTCTCGAAATTCTTATTTGCAACATTCTTACTGTGCGTCAAAGAGATGTCAGAAGATGCACAATCTTTCACCAATATCCATTTACAAATCGAAGTCAAAACCCTTTTCTTACAATGAAGCATGAATTCATAGCTGCCATTGAAGCAACCACAATCCCATCATGCGACATTGGCAGCACAGCAAATTTGATATATTTCGTTCCCTTCATAGTCTTCTTCATTGTGGAAATTGACCTGTGATAGTTACAAACGACTCAAAATGAAGTTCTTCTATCCTGCTACTATTGCCCTCGCCGCCGTAGCG